TAGAATAGAATAGAATAGAATAGAATAGAATAGAATAGAATAGAAGAATGGAATGGGATAGGATAGGATTGAATAGAATGGAACAGAACAGAATATAGGAATAGAATAGAATAGAATAGAATAGAATAGAATAGAATAGAATAGAATAGAATAGAATAGAATAGAATAGAATAGCAATTAGAATAGAATAGAAAATATAATAGAAAATGGAATGGAGTGGAATCGAATTAGAATAGAATAGAATAGAATAGAATAGAATAGAATAGAATAGAATAGAAGAATGGAATGGGATAGGATAGGATTGAATAGAATGGAACAGAACAGAATATAGGAATAGAATAGAATAGAATAGAATAGAATAGAATAGAAATTAGAATAGAATAGAAAATATAATAGAAAATGGAATGGAATAGAATAGAATAGCAATTAGAATAGAATAGAAAATATAATAGAAAATGGAATGGAATGGAATGGAATAGAATAGAATAGAATAGAATAGAATAGAATAGAATAGAATAGAATAGAAAATATTGAATAGAAAAGAACAGAGTAGAGTAGAACAGAATAGAACAGAAACAATGAAATATAATCATCTTTTAACCCTTTGTGCGGTGGAGTCTGGGCAACTGAATGGAGCTAGCAGAATGTTTCATGGCTGGATGCCCTTCCTGTCACCAATGTGGAGTTTTGTTCAATAGATATATTCTCATTGTGCCCAGAGAGAAATATGTGCCTCTACCTAGGATGGAACTCACAGTCTCCTGATTGTGAGACGAGAGCTCTACCTCTAGGCCACTGCCCCATTCCAAAAAAATGGAATAGAATAGAATGGAATATTTGGTCGAGTGTGATTAGATACACAAGAGATTTGTCTCTGGTGCAGAAGCTCAGACAGAGTGTACACGCAAAGCAACTGAGTAATAACCATAATGATATCAATAAGAGGGGATAGTAAGATAAGAAGGATAATGATAATAATGCTACAACCGTCCTGGGGGGTCATAAGTGTGAGGATAGGTCCTGTCACTTTTTTCGGTGCCCTTGTAACTTCAACCAGTCGCTCAACAAATGGTCATAAATCGAGGACTACCTGTAAGCGAGGAAGTTTGCAAAGGTGCATTTTCAAGAAATTACTGGACTTTCTGTTTTTTTTTCTTTGAAGACATTTTGCTTCTCATCCAAGAAGCTTCTTCAGTTCTGGAGGGATGGTGGAATGGAAATGGAAGGATTTATATTCCTTGCAGGCAGCTGGTCATTTGTATCCTTTTCGAGCGTCATTGAGGCCACTTGGAGTCCCAAAGGTGCAGTTTCAAGAGGCAACTGGACCTTCGGACCTTTTCTTTGAAGACGTTTCGCTTCCCATCCAAGAAGCTTCTTCAGCTCTGACTGGATAGTGAAACGTCTTCAAAGAAAAACCAAAGAAGTCCTGTTGCCTCCTGAAAAAGCACCTTTGGGACTCCAAGTGGCCTCAATGACGCTCGAAAAGGATGCAAATGACCAGCCACGACCAGGATGACGGAGAATCTCTACAGACTTTGGAGTTATACAATTTGGAAATGAACGTCCTTTGAACGGTGTGGGAATAGGAATGGATTTCCAGAGGAAGAATTGCAGACTACAGGGACCCCGAGGACACAGAGAAACCTTCCAAGTGGCTTCAACGACCCTCTAAAAAGGATGCAAATGACCAGCTGTCTGAAAGGAATCTAAATCCTTCCATGCCCCACCATCCGGTCAGAGCTGAAGAGGCTTCTTGGAGGAGAAGCGAAACGTCTTCAGATAAATGTCTATGGAGATGCTTAGTCCTCCAGGCCATGGTTGCCCCAAAAGTGCGTTTTTCCCCTCAAGAGGCAACTGGACTTTCTGGTTTCGCTTTGAAGACGTTTCACTCCTCAGGGGTGGGGCCACTGGGGAGCTTTGGGAGAGCCCCTAACTAAGATTCTGTGGAGTTTGGAGAACCCCCAAATCTCACTCCTGGCTGATCCCGCCCCCTCTCACCCCCCCCCAGGAGTCCCCATGCAACCTGTTTTGGAGGCAGGTAAGCGTAGGACGCGTGCTGAGGCTTGGGGAAGATAAATATGGGCCTCCCGGAAGTCCAGGAAAGCCAGAAATTGGTTCGTTTCCAGCTTCCCAAGAACCTCCAGAGCCCCAGGAGGCTATTTTCACCCTCCTGGAGGATCGAAAAAAGGCTTTGGAGCCCGGGGAGGGTGAAAACACCCCCCCACACACACACACCATGGTGCAAGAGGCTGACTAGGCCACACCCACCATGGCCACGCCCACCCAGCAACTGGGCAGAGGACCCTTTGCTAAAAATTTTGAAGCCCACTCCTGCTTCTTCTCCATTCTTCAGCTCTCATTCTGAGGGTGGGGGATGGAAGGATTTTATATTCCTTCCATTGGTCATTTGCATCCTTTTAGACAGTCATTGAGGCCACTAGGAGGTTTATCTGTATCCTCAGGTCTTTTGAAGATGTTTAACTTCTCATCCAAGAAGCTTCTTCAGTTCTGACTTGGATGGTGGGGAATGGAAGGATTTATATTCCTTCCATTGATCATTTGCATCCTTTTAGACAGTCATTGAGGCCACTAGGAGATCTTTTGAAGATGTTTCGCTTCTCATCCAAGAAGCTTCTTCAGTTCTGACTTGGATGGTGGGGAATGGAAGGATTTATATTCCTTGCAGACAGCTGGTCATTTGCATCCTTTTCAAGTGTCATTGAGGCCACTTGGAGGTTTATCTGTGTCCTCAGCATCACCTGAGTGGTGCAACTGGGTGTGGAGCCTTTTTGGAACTGTTGAAAGGGCTGCAATCTAAAACACAACCCTTTCAACAGTTCCAAGAAGGCTCCACACCCATTTGTACCATTCAGGTGACCCAGATCTTCAAAGAAAAACCAGAAAGTCCAGTTGGCTCTTGGACAACCATGACCTGGATGACTGAGAATCTTTACAGACTTTCACAAAGGCTACTAAAAGCATCAACCCAGCAAAGGTTTCCTCAGATGCCTTCAAAATAAAGGCAAGAGAAGATTCCGTATGT